TGTGGTTAAGAGCACGGGACTGGGACTCAGGCGATCTGGGTTCTAGTCCCCACTCAGCCATGGAGCCAACTGGGTGACTTTGGGCCAGTCACAGACTCTCAGCCCAACCTACCTCACAGGGTTGTTGTGGGGATAAGATGGAGGAGGAGATGTAAGCTGCCTTGAGCCCTTTGCAGAAAAAAGGCAGGATATAAATCGAATAAATAAATAAATAAATATTTCCATATACAGTAAATCATCTTAAGCACAATATAGCATTTTAATAACGATAATACAGTTATCCTGGCAAGACTGTTTGGCAAGGAGTTTGGCAAGGCTGTATACTGTCGCCCTGCCTGTTTAACTTATAAGCAGAGCACATCATGAGAAAGGCGGGGCTGGGTGAATCACCAGTTGAAATTAAGATTGCTGGGAGAAATATCAACAACCTCAGATATTATTGTTGTAAGCCGCCCCGAGGCTTTGGCAAATGGGGCCGCATAAAAATGTATTAATAAATAAATAAAATATGAAGATGATACCACTCTAATGGCAGAAAGTGAAGAGGAACTAAAGAGCCTCTTTATGCAGGTGAAGGAGGAGGGTACAAAAGTTGGCTTGAAACTCAACATTAAGAAAACTTAAGATAATGGCATCCAGTCCTCTCACTTCCTGGCAAATAGATGGGGAAGAAATGGAGGTAGTGACAGATTTTATTTTCCTGGGCTCCAAGATCACCGCAGATGGGGACTGCAGCCAAGAAATTAAAAGACGCTTGCTCCTGGGGAGAAAAGCTATGGCAAATCTAGACAGCATACTAAAAAGCAGAGACATCACCCTGCTAACAAAAGTGCTTATAGTCAAGGCTATGGTTTTCCCAGTTGCGATGTATGGCTGTGATAGTTGGACCATAAGGAAGGCTGAGCGCCGAAGAATTGATGCCTTTGAATTGTGGTGCTGGAGAAGACTCCTGTGAGTCCCCCGGACCGCAAGGCGATCAAACTGGTCAGTCCTAGAGGAGATCAACCCAGACTGCTCTTTAGAAGGCCAGATACTGAAGATGAAACTCAAATACTTTGGCCACCTAATAAGAAGGAAGGACTCCCTGGAGAAGAGTCTAATGCTGGGAACAATAGATGGCAAAAGAAGAAGGGGACGGCAGAGAATGAGGTGGCTAGATGGCGTCACTGAAGCAGTTGGTATGAGCTTAGGTGGACTCCGGGGGATGGTGGTGGACAGGAAGGCCTGGAGGAATGTTTTCCATGGGGTCGCGATGGGTCAAACACAAGTTTGTGACTAAACAACAACAACAATACAGTTATAATAAAGTAACTACAAGTACTGAAGAGAGAGAATCTGTTTATATGTGTGTACAGTTCTTAAAATAGTTAGGTTTTAATAGGAAAAAAACAGTTAAAAAATTAAAAGTTAACACTGCTTGAGTGAACAGTAAACCTAACATTAACTGAATGATGATGCAGATGTGACTGGCGTTTGAGGCATGCTTATAATCAGATACAATACAAAGTTACAGATGGCAACACCAGCTCCTAGCCAAATCGCACTGGTTTGGATACACTCATTTTTCATGAGCAAAAAAACCTATTGTAGTTCTGCCACCTCTGTGGCACTAGTTCCATCTTTGCTGCTTGCCACCATGGGCTCCCACTTGAGGACAAAGGAGGACTTCTGCGTTTGCTTGTTTGTAAGCAGGGGCTGTTCTTAACTTGAACATCTGAACTGAGGAACTGGGTATAGTGACCTTACAGTTCAGTATGACAAAACTACAGTTTGCACTAGAGCACCAATATTTTGTGCCAGTAATTAATGTTTTCTTTAATGAGATAAATTGGTCCCTCTGTGCTAATCAGAATTTTCTGGAACTTACTGCTGTTTCTGGCACTGGTTAATCAACTGATTCCTTTACAGGCCTCTGTAGCCTAGGCTTACTTGCTGCAGGGATCAGAGGCAGCTGCTTAATTTTAAGGATGAATTTAGGACTAATTGAAGGAGTGAAAAAGAATGCTTTGTGGGCCTGTGATCTCTGAGATCACAGGCACAGGCAACTCCTCTTTTGACCAAGCACAATGACTGATCCTCTGTTGTGTCGCATCCCTTTCTTCCCTGTTTCTCCACTCAAACTCTCCTATGTGACCACTGGCCCCCCTTCCTACTTGGAATTGGCATGCTGAGCCTCTTGTGTATGAGCCGACAAACTCAGCATCCCCCATCCATTTCTGCTGACAAGTGCAAAGGTGCTCAGCTTCTGAACGTCCTGGTGCTCATCAACGGGAACAGTATGGAGCATGCTGGGGCAAGCTTTTGCAAGGCTGCCAGCCTGACCTGCTCTTTTCCTGAGCCTCAGGAGAGCTTGCCACAATCGTGTCTGTGCCATTGCTAGGATCCAGACACAAGGTGGAAAGGGGCAGAGGCTCTGAGCAGCAAGAGGGCTATTGAACAAGGCCTTGGGGGGAGGAGGTTGCATGCTGCCTTCAGACTGGTGTTGGACCACCCCATTGTAAAGTATTTCAGCTCAGAATGGACACCAGCAAGGACTTACCAAGTATAACAGCATGTATGTATGTATGTATCCACAGGGATAGGCTCCAAGCCCCCCAATGGATGCCTGAAACAGTTATAGAAGCAAATACTACACTGTACCTGCTATACATAACCTGTGATAAAATTTAATTTATAAATTAGACACAATAAGACATTGCACCACAAGCCTAGAAAGTGCCAGCTGCTGCAGAAAGGCTAGCAACCTGCCCACTACCGCACTGCTTCTAAATTGCCACCTATCAGCCTAGCCTGAGCCTCAGTTCATCCCTCCTCTCTCCTCTCCCAACAACAGGCCTCTTCCTGCTTCCACCTTCTTACTCACCCCCACCCGCCCAGTATGTGTACCAGGGTAGCCAAACTGAGGCTTGCAAGCTGCACGTAGCTGTTTGAGTTTATTTTGCCACTCACCACCCATGGGCACCTGTTTGCAGCTTTCAGACATCTGACATTTATGACTGCGGTCAGCCGTGGTTAAACAAGAACATAGTTGCTGAGTCAGATACAGTGGTTCTGCTGTATAGATTTGAAATTCAAATAACTTTGCAAAGCACATCATTCCATTGCCAAGAAAAAATTGGGCTGTGAGAAGCAGATTTGATAAAAGTTCTCCTGTACAATATCTTGGGGAGGGAAATATCCTTAAGTAAACCTGTTGCAGGGGATCTTTTACACTTGCCTTTATAAACAGTTTTCAGGAACAGGGATCACAGCAGGACCAGCTGTCAGGCAGACTTGGGGTGGAGGGATGTCTTCTGGAACACAACCTTGTTAGAAGGCAGAGCTTGTAAAACAAAATTTCCAACAAGTGTAGAAATGGCTACCGTCCCCCCATCCCCGCCTTTCATTTTGCTAGCGGATCACCTCGAGGCACAAAGAAATTGGCAGCTGGGTTTGGGCAACATCTTAAGCTATAGTACATTTAATAAACCCTACAACAAGCCATAACTAGTTGGGGTGACTTATAAGCTACCCCGGGAAATGTACCACATTCAGGCAGCATAATTAGCCATCAGGGCTTACTGTGTCTTGCAAATTGAAATAATTCTCAGATCATATTAAAATGCACGCAGTGCAACTTTTGTACTCTGCCCTTGTAGATTTGAATGCTAACTCTAGTTGATTGACAAACTCTTATGTATCTTATTTTGGTAAGTAAGGAAATCTGGGGCTTAAGCCCAGAATATCATACACATATACAATACCATACACTTATGAAATAGGGTTGGGGAACTTCAGGCCCACAGGTCCCATTCTGGCCCTCCATGTCCAGATGACCATGCCTGCTCCGGTCACTCCACTCCCTTTCCCTGACCACCAATTGTTTAGTGGCTTTCAGACTTTTGCACTGCATTCTTCCCATTCCAAAAGATTGAAATGCTTCCCCTGAGACTTAGTTTCTTGTAGTAAGAACAGTAAGCTAAACGATGCTGGTATTTTTTGGTATTAGCCCTGACCACTACTGGAATGTAGTACTGAGAGCATCTGCAAAATTGAACGGGGCTGAAGTTGGTTCCTCACTACTGGCATAATTAATGTATCTGTCAGTTTTAATTTCTCAATTTAGTGAATAACCATGAAAAGTCCTTTACAAAACACATTAAGGTTTTCAGTTAATTAAATTAGACATGCATATGGTAGGCATGTCATGATCAGGGCCGGCTGGAACTGAGGATCAGACTAGATGGCCCAGGAAGCCCCTTCCAACTCGCTCAGTTTCTATGTTTCTACATATTCTTTAGTAAGTTTCAAATGTCTTGTCATTACTAGTTGTGGAAACACTAAATTCTTCCCTACGATAGTGCCCTGCTTATGGAGTTCGCTCCCCAGAGAGATCCATCTGGCACCAGCACTAGGTTTCGCTGCCAGACCAACACCTTTTTATTCTCCCAGTTTTTTAACCAATAATATATTTTAATTAGTTGTAGCAAAAGTGGGCACTAAGGAATTTTTAACTATTTTATGATTGTAATATGGTTTTTATATATATTTATCTTTTTGGCTTTTTATGTAAATCGTCTTGAGATTTTATAATCAGATGGTATATAAGAAATATACAATAAAAATAAATTGTGTTTTAGGGCAAGACGCACATTTCCAAAACTTTTGGCATTCCACAGTAGATGTGTAAGCATATTGATTTGACTTAAGAATTCTTCCTTAAATATACTAACTAGTGGGTTCAAAGATTAATTTTAACAATAACAAATCTGAGTGTTGAAATGGCCATATAGTAATACTTTGCAACAGGCAGAAATTTACCTCTTGAAAATGTCTGATGTTTTTCCAAATTTGCCTTGTTACAGTAGTCAAGAGGTTCTGATAAATTGCAGCTAATGTTGGTGAAGAAGCAAAGTTACTTTTAATTGACTTTTTGCTTCTAAATTTAAAAAGTGTTAAGTGTTTTCATTTTCGCAAAGAATAAGCATAGTTTTAAGAACTTGGGCCATTTCACTTTTAAGGTGAAGTTGATCCTAAAGAGAGGATAGCACGACAGAGAAAACTGCTCCAAAAGAAACTTGGCCTTGATATGGGTGCAGCAATTGGAATGAATACAGAAGACCTGTTCAATGATGAGGATTTGGACTACACTCCTGCTTCGTCATTTCTGGTACACAAACAACCTGTAGGTAAAACTTCAAGCTGTTTCACTACAAGGACTTATACAGTGAGTTTGCTTTGCATTTCTGCTATTCAGCATTAAGCTTTAAATACTATATCATAATATCAGTTTTAAGAAGATATGTGATGTCATTCAGTAATTTGTAATACATTGTAAAAATCATAGCTAGAGACAGTATGTTAAATTATAGGAGAGGAGTCTGTTTCCCTTAAGTTGCATATAAATGAGATTGAAAGGGTTCTGCTGGTCCCTGATTTCCAATGATTAACAGGATATGCTAGATCTTACATTGTTCCATAGCTTCCCCGATTATTGGAGGTTTTCGCAGGAAAGTAGTTTTTGCAGGAAAAATAGTTTTCGCAGGAAAATACTTTTATGTAAATGAAACAGTGGTCACACTTCCATGGATTTAAGCCAGAGTAGCCACTTAATCTTTACATCTTTTCAGACTCTTCAAGCTGCTGAATTGATTGATTCTGAATTTCGAGCTGGTATGAGTAACAGACAAAAGAATAAGGCTAAAAGAATGGCCAAGTTGTTTGCAAAGCAGAGATCAAGAGATGCTGTAGAAACCAGTGAGAAGAGGTACAGTAGTGGCTGGGTATTATTTTTCCTTTTAATTAAATACTTGCCAAAAAGTACTATTAAAGCATAAATGACAAGAAAAAATAAGATTCCATCTCTTTTCCAACTTCAGGGGTGAATGCTGTTAATTGTATAGTTAAAATGGCACCACCATACATAAGGAGGTTATGTCAGGTTCTGGGGAAACATAAGGTGTGTAGAACTAGAAATCTTGTTTGGGGTGAGGTGAATACATTCAGAGGGGGCCAAATGACCCAATATGGATTGAGTATGTCCATGAAATACTGCATGACTGGTGGAAGAGTGTTATCTTGAAAAAAGGAAAGACTGCTTGACTGCAACTCACTTTTACACTGCAACGTGTTATTGTATAGTCTTTGTAGTGGGACTTAAGTCTTGCCTGTTCCTTTTCAATAACCTCAGCACCTTTCTTATTATTCCAGTATATTATATAGAATTAAAATTATTAGTAAAGAAGTTTTATATATGCAAGCAGGATATGATTGATTATGACTTCTTTCTCTAGCATTAATTGCAGTTACCGCATGTCATGCACCCTTCCCTTTAATATTCATTCCTTAAAGAGGGTACATTCATTGTTTCCAGGTCTGATTTGTAGTGGGTTGTTCATTGGATTTGGCCAAATAGTAAGTTGAATTAGGCTGCTTCAGAGGGATTCTGTGGTTCTTCTTTGTGGTCTTTGTGCATCACACATATGGACTTTTGCCCCTCCACAAAGCCTGGAATCAGGAAAAGCTGCTGTAGCTTTTGGTTTGGGTGAAAGTCCCCTACTTCTTCCCAAGAAACACTGGGAGGTGTTCCTTTTCAGCTGCTATCAAGCTTAAACTAGGAATTGCTTCTCTCTCACCCACCTTTAGATACTAGTATTCTTTTGTGTACTCTCCCTTCCTTTTCTAACCTTTTATTCTCAGTAATCCTTCCCCATTTTTCACACTTTCTTTTAAAAATGAAACATTTTTTGCCCTGCTTTATTAACCACTCTTCACTCTGGCTTCTCCTTTTTTTCTTTCCCCATCTTTTTTCGCCTCCTCTGATCCCATCTCCATGATGGCATAGGCAGCTTTTCGTGACTGCCTCAATTGTGGCAGCAAAATGCCACATTCAAACAGGCATGACTTGTGTCTCCTCTGCCTTGGCAAGGGACATGTGGTGGAGGCCTGTACTATTTGTCAGGCCTTCAGTAAACAGACCCACAAACAATGTGCTTTTTCTCTCAAGGCCACCCTCTGGAAGAAGGCCCTCTTGATGGCCAACTCTTCAAAGGGCTCAACCACTCACTCTTCTACATCCATTCTGAGGAGCCTCCCACCTGAGCCACGACAACAATGCTCATGAGATACATGCACATCCAGGAGATCCACTAAGTGCCCACAAAAGATAGTTATCCCTGCCATGCCAAAACAGAAGTGCAGGTGCCATGTGAGCCCTGAAAGACCAATGACCTCTTCCACCAGGTCCTCAGAGCCCACTGACTGCCCAAGAACCCTGGAACCCATGGAGGAGCCCTCCACTGTGTCATGTGATGAGCCTGGAGAGGATCCTATAGTGTTCCCATCAGTCCTATGCCTCAACAGGCTCCTGGCCTCTAACACTGCCCATGTCACTTCCACGACACTTGCTGGCATCTCCCTCTGAGATGAACTCAACACTAGATGAGGAGGCCAGAGGACACCAGGATCGCTCCCACTCTCCCCTTTCAGACCCTGAGTGGGCCTTGGATGCATTGCCACCTCCCAGCCACTTTGGAGAGGTCTATCTGGATTGAGTTTCATTTTATTGACCCTTTATTACCTCGTCCAGGCAGTGGTTCAGGACAGCCACTGCCTCACCTGGATTAGTTGTAAAAGAGAGGTAGAGCTGGGAATCATCAGCGTACTGGTGACTCCTCAGCTCAAACCTCCTGATGACCTCTCCCAGCTATTTCATGTAGATGCTAAATAGCAAGGAGGACAAAATGGAACCCTGTGGTACTCCATGGCACAGAGCCATAGTCCCTCAGCATCACCTTCTGGGTTCAGCCAGCCAAATAGGAGCGGAACCACTGCCAAGCAGAGCCTTCTAGTCCTAACCCGTCCAGCCTATCCAGAAGGATACCATGGTCCAGGAGAAACAACAAGGACGCACTCCCTCTGTCCCTCTCCCTGCACAGGTCATCATACAGGGTGACCAAGGCAGATTCAGTACCGTAACCAGGTCTGAAACCAGACTGAAATGGGTCCAGATAATCAGTTTCATCCAAAAGTACCTAGAGTTGTCCCGCCACCACCCGCTCCAACACCTTGCCCAAGAACAGAATGTTGGCCACCAGTCTATAATTGACGGCCACCTCTGGATCCAAGGACACCTTCTTCAGGACAGGCCTGATCACTGCCTCCTTTAAAGGGGCGGGGACCCGGCCCTCCCTTAGTGAGGCGTTGATGACCTCCTGCACCCAGGAACCGATTCTGTGTTTGGGTTTGGTAACTAGCCAGGAAGGGTAAGGGTCGAGCAAGCAGGTGGTGGGACGTACTTGTCCAAGCACCTTGTCCACATCATCAGGCCATATCAACTGGAACTCATCCAACAATGATGGACCACACAGGGCTCTGGACGCTTCCCGTAATGGAACCCTATCAACTGTGGGTTCCATTACGGGAAGCATCCAGAGCTTGTGCTGGATGAGGTACCCAGGCGGGCACAACTGAGTAAGGGAGACATCCCCCCCTTCTCCCAGCCAGGTCTCCGTGATGCACAGCAGGTTGGCCCACTCATCCACGATTAAATCATGAATGAGAGATATTTTATTATGGACGGACCTGGCATTCACCAACAGCACCATCAGGCCTGAGGGGCAGGGAATAAAACTACCAGGAAACTTCCAGGTGGGGGAATAACGAGAAGAGGGGACAGATATGAGACATCTGTCCCTCCTCCTCCTCAGCTGACTTGTTAGACCCCCACCACCATATCTTCCCCTGCCCATTACCACCCCAGTGGTGGCGCCCTCGTGCTCCCTAGGCACACACATTAAAAAATTAAATTTAAAACCTAGTAATAAAATACAGCTCAGTCATGGTATACAGTAAGATTAAAATACGTTAACAATAAAAATCCCCAAACCTCCCACAAATAAAAAAACAAAGTCCCTGGCCCAGCCCAGGCCTGCATGGCCCCAAACGGCTCAGCACCCTTAGGCTAATGCGCTTTGGCTGCCTGCCGAAGGCCTCCAGCACTTGACCACAGCCAGCAAGATATAGGCCCCGTCCCCCTCCCCCGCAGCCTATGCCCGCCACCCTGGCACAACTTCCACTTACACTGGGAGTCGAGGCAGTCAGAGCAGCAAGGGCGGGCCCGTGGGTCTACCAGCCTTAACACAGATTTTGGATGTGCCTGTGTCTTGTCTTGAATCGTCTTGTCTTGAATCGTCTTGTCTTTCTATTTTTTCTTCTTGCTCAAGCTTCCATCCTTCACTAAATGCTTTCCTTTTTCTTTCAAAACCATTCAGCAGCTTGGATATATGTTGGCTAAATTTCATTTGTTGTCTGCACAAACCCAAAATCAACTTGGGCACCTAGCACAAAAATCCATGTGCCTATCTTTATTTATTTATTTTTAAACATTTCTATACCACCTATTGTGCCACAACATCTCCTTTTATAATTTGTCATGTTTCCTACTAGTTGGTGTAATTCCAGTGTTTGCAGCCTTCATATAAATGCTCACCAGGCAATAATAGATGTTACCAACCTTTTCTAACTGCAACAGACCTGGACCTGTTTTGTACACAGCCCTCTGTACCTATATTACTGAAACTCGGCAGGCTTTATTTTCCCAGAATGGGCAGCAGTGTTTCCAAGTGGCATGTATTTCTGTCAAAAAATAAAAGGCACTTGCCTTAATATGTAAAGCAGCCTAACATCTAACATGTCCCTCTAATTGACTGATATTTGGAAGGTTTCAGTCCTCAAATACAGTGGTACCTTGGCTCACGAACTTAATCTATTCCAGGACTCTGGTCGTGACCCTAATTGGTCTTGACCCAAGTTAAATTTATCCGTAAGGTTCAATGTAAATAAGGTTAATCTGTTCTGTAATTATTTTTAAATCACCAAAGTTTGAAACAAAGTACAGTAGAGAACACTAACCTAGGTGGGGGGGGGGAGAGTCAAAACCATAATCGTGCGATTGCGCTCATGCGGGGGGAGATGGGCACGATCATGGGCATGCTCGTGTGGGGGGAGACGGATGCAATCGTGGTCATCATCCAATGTGGAATGTGTGAACTGAGGCAATTTTTTTCTGAAATTTCTGTTTGCGAGCCAATTTGGTCGTGAACTGAGGCATTGGTGAACCAAGGTACCACTGTATGTCTACAATATTTGCAAACGTTAGCCAGTTCTATTAAGTAAAGGAAGTTACAGCTAGTTAAACATACAACTTCTGCTTCCTGAATATCACTTTGATTCAGCTCTAAATTGAATTAGAATACCTTCTGATTGGACCAATTTGACTTAGACTATTTTTCAAATCACCAAAATGGGTTTTAAATTGAATATTTTGGTTGGTCCTTTAGTTATTCTAGCAGCTGTTAGTCATTCTCGTTGCTTCCAATAGAACTTCAGATTTCTTCTAACAAAACAGTATCCTAAGAGAAATAATGGTAAATTGTAAGTGCTTCTGATTCCAAAAATCATGTTCTGGAGGTTGCTGATCTTCCCAGTGAAGATTCTATCTGCGTCCACAATTCCATCATTTATAATTTTCTCTGAATGAGTTGTTGTCTATGAAGAAGCTAAGGCACTGTTTAACATGAACAATCTTGAATTTAATGCAATTCATAATTAAAATATAAATGCATGCAGTATATTACATGATTACTGTTAAGTTGTATGGCATGACACTTCAGAAATATTTCAATTTTTTTTTCTAGTAATGATAGCACTGACGGTGAACCAGAAGAAAAGAAAAGAAAAATTGCAAATGTTATCATCAGTCAACCTGCAACTGACTCCAGACTTTTGGTAGAGAATATTCCAGAAGAGGTACAGAACCCTTATAAGTTAGTGAATTAAGGACCAATTTTCTTCTCTATAATAGGGGAGGAGATAAAGTTCATATTACTGGAGTAGATAAATTTCATATTACTGGAGTAAAGAATACAAATTTTCCCAGTTTGAATCTCTTGCCTTAATACAAAGCAAGCCCAGATCCTCAAAACCTATATGGATCATATGACTTCCTACAGCAGCTGGCTGTTTGTGGCCAAAATTAAAAGTAGTAGCTATGACCTATCAAGCCCTCTAAGACTGGTTCAGGCTACCCAAATGACTCTTGTGTCCCATACAATCCTACCTAGTTCCTGAGATCTATTTGAGAAGCCTTTTTTCCAAGACCAGCACCTTCAGTGGTGCATTTGATGGCAATGCAGTGTAGCCTTTTAGATGGCTTCTCTAAGGCAATGGAACTCCCTCCCAAAGGAGGTTTGGTTCTCACCCTCTCTGCTGTACTTGTATTGGCAGGCAAAGGCTGCTTTATTTAAGAATCCCTTTGACCTGTAAATGAACTGTTGGGTGGGGCACTTTTTTTTCTTTTTAAAAATTGTATAATTGATAAGTTTTCATTGTTTTATTTATTTTATTTACAGTACTTTTACCCTGTTCTTAACAGATGTCTCAGGACAGCTTACAACATAGTTTTCATTGTATTGTTTTATTGTCTTTATTTTGATTGTACTTGTTAACCCATCTTGAATGCCAGTTTTGGTAGAAAGACTAAGTACAAACTAAATACTTAATAAAATTTGGGCTCAGGCTCATTGAACTTTATTAGTGTTTACCTCTTGCAATCTCTTCCTCTTCCCCCAAACTTAATTACTTTAAAATAGTAAGAGTTAAACTTCCCAGGTCACTTTGACCAATAGGGCAGCAGAAACAACAAGGGCAGTCTTGTTGCACTGCTTGTAGGCCCAAATACTGATATGACTTAATTGGTCCTCTTATTTGACTTGGTGATGAACCGATGAACTCCCACTCCTCCTACTCTAATGTTCCTTGTTCTACAGTGTTTCCCCCAGAACCAGAGGTGGCCTGGTTCAAACAAGCTACTTTGCTAATCTCCTGACTTGTTAATCCTTGACATTTCAAGTAATGCATTCCAACCCCTCCTCCTCCTCTTCAAAGTCTGAGCTCTCTAGCTTGGAATGCTGTATTTTTGGAGAAGCAGGCCCAGTCCTCACAGATAGTAAGGATCAAGAAGCCAAAGGGTGAAGACAGTTAAAAGTACCAAGCAGTAATTTGAACTGAATTAGACAAGAAATTGGAAACTGCTGAAGCGAGTAAGACATTTAAAGAAAAGAAAAATTAACAGGCAGTAGATCTAAGAATCAAGGAGATAGTGAAACAGAAGCAAGGCAAAACTGTGGAAGTTCAGCCCCAAACTTTCCTTGGAAAAGTGACTTGAATTTCTGACACACACAAATGTTTAATAAATCCATTATCTTACACTTTAAGATTAATAATTCATGATTTTTCTTAGTATAGAATTACTTGAGTATCCAGTTATATTCAACTGGTTATTTAAAATGTAGATTCAGGTCTGGTGTAATAATGTGTCTTTCTGAAGCTCTTTCTGAAAATAATTTGTCAGGGAAACTAGTTAAGTAGTCATGGACATAATTTTTGTCTCTTTTAGACAAATGAATGGCCTCTAGAAAGTTTTTGTGAAGAAGTGTGCAATGACCTTTTTAACCCCTCATGGGAGGTAAGCATTTCTCTTAATGTCATCAAGAACATGCGATTGGAAGGAGGTTGCTTTATATACACTGTGTTCTTATTTTTAAAACATGCATATGGCACTTTTTCCTCTGGTTAGTGGGAGGAGGCATGCAAGGATTGGGTTATCTCTTCTCATTACCTGGGAAGGCAGGGGGATTACATGAATAATGAAATGAAGTCTTGATTCTCCATTTCTAGTTCCTTCCCTACCTTCATCCAAGGTAGTCATTACTTTTGAGCAATTCCTTCTATTTTTTTAATCCTGATGGTTAGTTTCTTTGTTTTCTGATTTAATCCATCTTAACCTCTCTGCAAGTGTGGGAGAGTGTTCATTTTTCCCACCCAGATGCCTCTGGCAACCAAGCTTGTGTAGCTGAAAAAAAGATAACATCAATCATGTGTGTAAGAGTAATTTCAAACTGCCTGCCTCAGCAGTCCATGCCTACCCACAAATCACTTAAACACAGAAACAGAGCAAGTCAGAAGGGACCTCCTGGTGCATTTTGTCTGACCCCTGGCTCTAGCCAGCTCCGCTCACAACATGCCTACCATGTACCTACCACTTGGCAAGTGATCCACTGAGAGACCCACTTTGGGCAGGAGGCAGGAGCCAGTGATGGGCTTAAAGCATAGCTCTGTTTTCATGGCAGGGTCACTGAGTCAGTGATCACCCAGGCAGGAGTTGGGAAGTGACAGGGCGATCAGTGCTGCCCCATTGCCAGGGTAGCACTATGGAACAGTTTGCACTCCCAGGGTCTTACTCGCTTCTGCTTGGGAATAGAACACTTGGACATGAGGTAGCAGTTGGCTCAGCAGTTCTTATTTACCCTGTGTCTTCCTGATTCCTGCCTGGGTTTTTGGCTCCTGTGAAGAATCCTGCTGTCAGGCAGGAACAGGAAGGTCACAGTTGGCTCAGTGGGGCTGCCCCAAGAACAGGATAGCACCACCAAGCTGTTCAGCCACCCACCTCCTGCCTGAAAGCTCTTGACAGGAGCTATCAGTTTGCTTGGTAGCCCTGCCCCAAGCAGTAGAATGGGATAGTAGAATGGAGTAGAGCAGGCACTCCTGCCTCCTGTTGCAGAGGTCTCTTGTGGAACAGAAGCAAAGGTGCCAGTTCCCCTGTCCTAACTGTGTTTCATCCCTTTTTATACTGGAGGGAGTCTAGCCACAATAAGCTGAAATTGCTCACAGTTATCTCTCGCAAAGGGACCTCATTCCTTTCCATGGTGTCCTCTTTAATACTACAGGAGAATGACAGGGACGGAAGGGGAGGGGGGCAAAGCACCTGTGATGAGTCTATTTGTCTGTTGGACTCTTTGTGGGTTCTTTATACTTAATGGCAATCCATCCTGGTAATACACCAGGATAGGTTGCTGTTATATGTGAACCTGCCTTTGATTCCAGAGATTAGTCTCTGTGCACTCTATGTTGTCCTCCAGATGGATATCTTTGGCTTATTTCATGTATTTTCTGGCTCTGCTGTTCTGTCCTTCCTTGATCCTTTCTCTAGTATTTTCTCAAGTTTAGTCGTGTTAAGATACTGAAATCAGAGTCAGTCTTCCTTCAAATAAAATTTAATCATGTGATCCCTGCCTTCCTAGACAGTGAAAAGAGATAATCCAGTCCTTGAATGCTTCCTTCCCAGAATGGACTTGCATATTTCTTTCTAGCCATGCTAGTTCCAGTTTAACTTAATAAGTTTACTTCTTATTGGTTCTGTTGCATTTATCCATAATTAATTTTGATATTGTAGAACTACTAGTGCCACAAATGCTCCATATGCGTGCAGTGAGAATATTATGTAAGGTTTAGGGTTCAAATGTCAAAGTTTAGTTCATGTTTCACATGTGTGGTTTGGCTGTCAGGGATGTGCTGAAGTGTTCAGTGCACAGTCCCACAATTGCATATTATCCTGTGCTACCAACCATTACCAACCTTGATGTTTATAAAATAGTTTTTTAAAAATTTCTAGGCCTTTCATATGAATTTTATATTGACCTGCTGCTCTGGTTTTAACTGGCCCTGCATTTTTATCTCCTTTATATCTTTTAACATTAAATAATGTTTTAATCATTATTGTAAGCCTTGGGGGAAGGAAAGCTGAAAACTGTGACATGAGAGTTCTAAATAAAATATACAAATCAGTTCAATTCTTGATAACTAGAGATAACCTCAGCATGCTATGCTTAGCTGTCCTAAGATATACCACTCTATGTATGTGCATAATTCAATATTGTACAATAAACACCTGTTCTTAAATCTCTAGAATCTTAAATCTGTTTGCTTTTTGCAACTTTTTAGATTCGGCATGGTGCAGGTATTGGACTGAGAGAAGTGCTTAAAGCTCATGGGAAAAGTGGAGGTAAAATAGGAGACAGCACTCTAGAAGAGGTAAGATTAATATGTAACTCTAGATAATGCATAGTCAGCACTTGTATGTTACAGAGGAACTGGTCCTGATTTTGTCAGCATTATTAGAAAGGTTTTTGGCATTATCAGAAGTGTTTTTTGGCATTATCAGGAAAATTAAGTGATGAGACAGATCAAGGAAAGAAGAATAGTAGGGACTTCCATCCCAGTGCAGGTTGTGAGATGTGTTTCTCTTCATGGGCTGTATACATCTTGTACCTTGTGGATCTGGCAGTTTAAATTCAGCCTGGCCTATCCTTCTCCTACCCTCTGCTCCCCACTGACACTCACAAATCCCTTCCTCATCATCCTTGGTGTCTGCAGTGGAGTCCTTATTGGACCCATAATCTGCAGTATTTCCTGTGGCTTTGGCCTCAGTCTCACTGTTATTGGAACCAATTGGAACCCTTCAGTATCTCTTGTCTTCTGCTGTCAAAGCCTGTATGTCCTTCATCCTTGGAACATACAAGGAACCCATAGCTAAGCTTCTTGCCTCTCCCTTGCCAAAAGAGGGCAAAAATAAGAGGCTACGTAAGCATAAGATAGCTTCAGTAGTGTCAATTTAGCCTTGACTACCTTCACTACTAATGATGCAACCTTGGGCACTTTATAGTGCCAGGCTTTCAAGCTTGTCTGACACTAGAAGTGGTGCTGGAACATCTTGACTCTGTTTCTGGTGCTTTTTCTTTGTCAAAGCCAAAGCCAAATTAACTATGGTAATTTTTAATATGTCAAATAGCCTATCATTTGAATGTAGTGGATTCCATTACTTTCTCCACATGTCCTGCTCTTCTGTGTTCAAATCATAAATTACCAAACATATTAAAATGATTATAGCTTATTTGACATTGTTGTACTCTACATGTTCTTGATTATGGTGTCTGACAACCTAGAGAATCCTTCACTAACATCTCACATCTTCTTTACTAAGGGTCTCTGTGCATTACTGCATGCAGCATGGAAGTTGCATGCAGCATGGAAGCTAACTACTAAATGTACCTATGAAATGGAAGACTTTCTCATTGTATAACACAGGCTGGATTCAACAATTTTTAATGACTGGTGGAACATGTATTTCTCCTCCTTCATTCTCTCTTATTAAAAAAACCCCTCAAACTTTTGTCTATACATGCTTGGTTGACTGCTGTTTTGGCATACCACAACCATATGAAAAGGTTTCTCAGTTTTTACTCACTCCTTATATCTGCAATTCAATTGGCCTTTGAAACATGGTTATTTCCATTTGTAATCCACACTAAACTAGAACCTGTTTGTTGTTCTTCTTTTTTTTATGTCTAAGCCCATGGAGCTTCTGGTAGCTGTAGACTTCTGACTGTTGTCACAAAAGGTAGCCTTCTTGGTAGTAATTGCATCTGCTCACCCTGCCTAGTGTGCACTTTAGGTCAATTGCCTATACATAATTTTTCATAGGGAAAAGGTTGTGCTTTTCCCTGATTCTCCATTCTCCCTAAGCCTGTCTTCAATTTTCACATTAAGGATGAGCTCCCCATCCTTTTGTTGGAGTCCATCTTCCACACCCTCATATTCAGTAGCATTTGGTGTTTTGCATATCCTGAATTGAACAGTTGCACCAGTCGCAGAAGCTATTTTTGTGCTATGTTGGCCAGAATAAAGGACTTTCATTTTCTTCCCAAAGAAGAAAATTTTCTTCTTCCATTTTCTTCCTGGTTCAGAAAGTTTCCCTTTCATACCATTTGGCTGGTTTGGAACTCTCAGGGACCACTAAAGCTCACCTTGCTGGGGGAATGGCAGCCTTGTTTGCTTTCTGAGCTGGTGCCAGAGTTATGTAAACCTGCTACATGGTCAACCCCTCAAACCCTACTGCCTGTGAGTCTGTCAGATCAGACTGTTCCTTTGGAAATGCAGTAGTTCCTTCAGTGCTTTGATAGCCCCACTGAACGAGCTTTCTAATCATCCATATGTACTATAAAGAGGATGATGATGAAGAAAGGCTGATTACTTCTTGCATGTGACCATGGTTCTTTGAGTAGTCTGTGCATTTATACAACCTCACCACTGCATTCTTGCTGAATGTTGACATTGCAGGTGATACTAGTACTGAAGTTGGTCTTCTTGGTATTGACATCAATTATTATACCTATGTTGATTTCAAGGACCCTCTTAAGTTCAGGGGCCACAGTGATGGTCTCTAGGAACTGAGGTTAAGGGATGGGAAGCCATTGGGGTATATATGCTGTAATGATGGAAGAGGTTTCCTGCCAAAGGATCCTCAACTATAGAAGCTTCCTGAAGCAAGGTTGCATACAGTTGAAGAGCCCCCATATTTGTGAATGCACAAATGACTGCTCAAAGAGCCATCAATAAGGTAAGTAATCCGGCTTTGTTTCCTTTATTTATTTCCTTTATGGTTTATTTTCTGGAAAAGTGTTGACAGTTTGTCATTAATTTTCACTCTTTTTAAAAAAGTGATTAAATAAAATGACTCAACTCTCACTAGTTCTGCCCAAAGTCTTGTCCAGACATATACCTGAAAGAAATGATGAAATAAATTGCCATTTGGTTTGCTGAGTTGGGAGAGGGCCAGGGTCATATTTCTTATGTTTGACTTTGAATTTAAAAAAAAAATCAGGTGGAAAATAGCATAGCATGGCAGACTGACGCCCTTATATGTAGCCTGAAGTTGTAAATGCATTCTAACACCTCATGATTTAACATTTCAATCTCTTGCAGGTATCAACCAGCCCCAGATATATTATGGTTCATCAGTGAAGTGTGATATAGTTTCATAGAACATACTTACTGTTCCTTTGTTTTTATAGTTTTTTAATGATCATGTAGCCACATCTGTAAGATGGGATGATAATTCTTTGTATGTCTTGCAAAGTATTTAAATATTTAATGTAGATACAGTGAATTAACTTTCTGACTAAGAAACCTCTGTAGTTCCAATGTCAGATTCATGTCTTCTACCCAGTGCAGTGTTGTTGACTATTGCTGTTAGTTTTCCAGCAGCACAAAAAGTATAATGTTTACTTTGCATTTATTCCACATGTTCAGTGCAGCATACTTGCTTTTGTAAGAGTCTCTGAAAGTAAGGAGGGTGAATAATCATTCAACATGTCACCAATTCGGAATTTACTTTTCATTAAACAGATGACTCAGCAACACCAAGATTGGCTGGAAGACTTGGCTATCAGGCTTCTTTGTGTGTTTGCATTAGACAGATTTGGTGATTTCGTTTCAGATGAAGTAAGTATCAGCTTTGGTTACTGTGTATACATTGGTTGCAATTTTATGGTGTCTTTCTACTATTCAGCTGAGGGATGTTCTCTTTAAATCTTAGGTTGTAGCACCAGTACGAGAAACTTGTGCTCAGACTTTAGGAGTAGTGCTGAAATACATGAATGAAAGTGGAGTTCATAAAACTGTGGCTATCCTGCTAAAATTACTTGCACAGGAGCAGTGGGAAGTGAGACATGGTGGTCTACTAGGAATAAAGTATGCTCTGGCAGTTCGTCAGGTAATGGTTTTAAGTTTCTTCAATGCAGTATTGTTCCATGGTTTTTGAAATAGTAGGAGCAACTTACGCTTGGTACTTTCCCATTCTGTTAATGGCCTGATGTGCTGGTAAGAATGAGTGAGAGAGTATCAACCAAGCAGTGTTAGGATATTGCCTTTTTGAATATCATGAACCTGGAGGGGAAGGGTTTGTTCTTCAATAAAATAAAAAATAAACATCTAGGCATTGTAAAAGTTAATTGTAAAAATGTTATTGTGCAACAATCTAAAATACAGTACAGATTAAAACCAAAATAAGCACATTCCAGTGCAACATCATAATTGAGATTATGATGATTAGCTTGATTACAAATGCTAAGACAATTGTAATGTATAGAAGCTAAAAATTCACCACTTTAAATTGGCAAAATCACTAAATGCATACTGAAAACACCTTTCCTGTTTGCATAGTTCCATAACTCAAAATTACAGAACACTCAGAGAAGGACTTCCATAATCATCTGTGGAAGGAGGTGTTCTGTCAGGTACAACATCCCCCATGTCCCCACAGCTTTATTTCCCTTTGAAGATGAACTTATCAAGCACTTTGTCTTCAGGCCTCACAAACTGACATCCATTCAAAAACATATGGCCAGATAATGCTTTGGACACTGGCTTAAGTCACCTGTGCCAACTGTGGAGTTCCAGTTGTGAAAGATTAAGTTGCCCTGAAACCATGTCATAGCACTAACAGGTTTGCTACCATTTAGGCTCCAAACTGCTCAAAATCTCCACTGAATGACTGTTAGGAAGCCCAGTGATAGTAGAGAAAGATTGCTTCACTGGAACAGAAGAGTCTCAACAATTTATTTATTTATTTAAAACATTTCTATGCCACCCCTTTGCAACAAAGTCTCGGGGTGGCTCACAACACATAAATAAATACAGAAGTAATAAAATGAATAAGTACTAAATTATACAATAAATAACACCCCCCCCAGTGCATTCTCGGCTAAAAAAAACCCCTAGTTATTAAATAATTAACAGTTAAAATAAGTTTTAAATTAAAAGGTCTTAGCCTGGCGCCAAAAAACAAATAACGACGGTGCCAGGCGGACCTCTCTGGGGAGCGCATTCCATAGATGGGGTGCCACCACAGAGAAAGCCCTCCTCCGGGTGCTCACCCTCCTAATCTCATTCACAGAGGGTTCCCGGAGGAGGGCATCTGCTGCTGACCTCAAGGGGCGGGAGGCAATGAGCTCTTTCCAATGATGCTATTCACTCCCTTTTCCCAACATTTATGTTTTAGATGTCTCCCAACTTGCTTTATTCCCCTCAGTATACCAAGGGGCAAAATTAGCTGGGCTAAATGAGTTTTCAGTTACTTGACTTTGCCATTAGAGAGAATGATGTTAATGTGCCTCAAAAATGTGCCATTTGAAAAGACAGTCGTTGTGCATGCAGGCTATTGCACAGCCTTATCTACTGAACTTAAGTTTAACAGTTCTTGCTTTGGCAGGATTTAATTGAAACTTTATTGCCTAAAGTCCTACCTGCCATAACAGAAGGTCTGCAAGATCTGGATGATGATGTTAGAGCTGTTGCCGCAGCTTCTTTGGTACCAGTAGTGGAAAGCCTTGTCCACCTTCAGCCAGAGAAAGTGAGTAGAATATGCTGACACTTTTTATTGTGTTGAACAAAAGTTTTGGCAGTATCTTGGCCTCATGCATTTTCAATTTTTGTGCTAATAAACTTAGGTGCCCTCTATTCTTAATATACTATGGGATGCACTAATGGATTTGGATGACCTCACAGCTTCCACAAATAGCATCATGATCCTTCTTTCTTCCCTTTTGACATATTCTCAGGTTCGAAAATGCAGGTAAGGAGCTTAATGGAAGATCCTTTATCCCTAGGATGTCACTTTTTCTTTAGTTAGTAAAAAAATCCATAGCAGATTTGTTTGGATCTTAGGAGACATTAAACTGCAAGCCTATACAGTCATGAGTTGCCTACATGTGTAGAAGAAAAAGTAAAGGAAAGGGGTATTACAAAGTGAATGAATTTGGACTACATAAAAGATTGTCAGTTACTGTATATACTGTAGTACAAAAGGCACTTGGGCTTGTATTATGTGGGGTATGTTTCTGTGTTAGATTCTGGGGATAACCCTCCTCCTCACTACAGGGAGGGTAATACATTTATAGGAACAAGGTAGACTTGTAGCATTACAGTAGGTAGTACTTTTGATTAGGCACTGTGCTTTGCCTTCTCTTTGGTAGTTTGTTCCATTTCCCCTCTCAAACAGTTCTCGTTTTTTTCCTTCAATTGTCAGTCACCTCTGTGTGCCCACTGAACATACATGGTGTTTGGGCTTCTCCCACAGTACTTTTTTCCTAAATATTTTTAAAAATAAAACTTCTGCAGTCTGGGACTCTGTCACATGTATTGATACCTCCCTGTTGCATATAAGCAGTAATGTTTACACCTGAACCCTTGCTACCAATTTGCCTCAGGAAAGACTAATCTGTTTAAATAAGCATAAGCTCCTCCAGGTTTGCTTTCTTTGCTTTTTATTTATTTATTTGGGATATTTCTAACCCATCCAATCAGTATGTGTCTCTGGACGACTTACAAACAAATTCAATAAATACAACAGTATAAAAGATTATAAACACCCCAAACAATAATGAGACTAATAACCCATGACTGAAGTAAAACCTAATTAAAAACTTTTAAACATTAAAATACTGGGTAAATAAAAAGATCTTGACCTGGCACCAAAAAGCGTATAATGTTGGCACCAAGTGGACCTCTCTAGGGAGTGCATTCCATAGCTGGGGTGCCACCACAGAGAAAGCCCTCCTCCGGGTATTCTGTCACCTAATCTCCTTCAAGGAGGGTTCCTGGAGCAGGGCCTCTGCTGCAGATCTTAAGGGGTGGGAGGGCATGTAGGGGAAAAGATGTTCCTTTAGGTATACTGGTCCCAAGCCATTTAGGACTTTATAGGTCATAACCAGCAACTTAAATTGGGCCCAGGCTGTCTTCAAGGGCAGCCCCATGTAGACCACGTTACAATAGTCCAGTCAGGAGGTTACCAGAGCGTATGTCACCATTGCTAGGCAGTGCTCATCTAGGTAAGGACACAGCTGATGGATCAGCCGAAGCTGAAGGAAAGCACTCCTCGCCACTGCCGCCCCCTGGTTCTTCAGGGACGGTTCCACGTCTAGGAGCACTGCCAATCTGTGGACCCTGTCCTTAAGAGAGGGAGTGCATCCCCATCCAGGACAGGGCCAAAATCACTTACCTGAAAACCTGAACCACCTACCAAAAGGACCTCCATCTTATCTGGATTCAGTTTCAGTTTATTGGCCCTTTTTTACCTCGGCCAGGCATTGGTTTGGGACAGCCACTGCCTCACCTGGATAAATAACTTATCCAATAATAAGATTGGATTAATAAATTAAAAATAATCACATATATAAATGGGAAGACCGGAAAAATAAGATAAAAAATATAACACAATTAAGGAATATATTGGCAGAGACCAAATTAAATTGGTTAAATTTATTTCAATTAGAAAAATGGCTAAAGATGGAGGATAAATTTAAAGAGGAAGAAAGACAACAAAATTCAAAATGATAGTGAAAGAATGTGAGATTAAGGAAGAATATACAAGCAAAGGAAGAATTGCTAAAATTTATAGGATATTAATAGAGTTAGGAGATAAGACAAAAAGTTTAAAATCTATTTGGGAAATGGATGTAGGTGAAATAAAAGACAAGCATTGGAAGAATATTTGGAATAGAAGAGTGTATAAGAACATGTTGGTTAGAATTAAAGAACATGGATATAAAGTGATATGGAGGTGATACTTAACACCACTTAAGTTAAATCAAAGTGATGATAAATACTCTAATATATGTTGGAGATGTGGGAAAGGGATTGAAACTTATAAACATGTGGTGGGATTGTGATACTATAGAAAAGATTTGGATTATGGTGTTCAATGAAATTAGAGAAATTTTAGATATAGATTTAGGAATGTCACCGAGAATTGTGTTATTGCTGTTGATTGAAAAACAAGATATAAATGAAGTTAAGAAAGAATTGATCCTAAGTTTGATAATGGCAGCCTGGTTAGTGATAGTTAAATACTAGAAACAAATTGGGTTAGGCAAAGGCATGAATGGTATAATGAAATATGGAATATGATAATTAATGATAAACTGACAACAGAAATAAAAATTTAAAAGGTTAATAAAAGCAAATAAATATAATGAAATTTAGGAAGATTTTGTGAAAGCACTATTGATAGAAGGTAAAGGTTGTGAGCCTAATCAAGATTATATGAATTTGTTGAGGGGATATGGATATAATTGAAGTATATATTGTTAATTGTTATAATGTATGAAATGAAATGCAGGTATTATTGATCTCCTGGGTGGTGGGGGCACAGTATTATTTACTTCTTTACTTATTAGTTGGGTTTTATGTGTTATATTATTGATATTGTGAATGGTATATATTTGTATTTCAGATGTTTGTATTTATGTTTTTTTTGGTATTTTAAAAAAAATAAAGTGGGGAAAAATAGAATCACTCTAATCTCTGTTCCTAAAAGGTCATTAATAAAATATAATGTCTTTGTTTCAGTATTATGTATAAATACATTGTAGGTTTTTTCTAACACTAATATTTAGATTAATAAAGAATATTTGGCAAGTATGGAAAAGATTAATAGAAGTAGTATGAAAGAAATCATGCTTGAAATCTTAAAAAGCCATTGCCAATCAGATTAGATGTTACTGGGCTAGATGGTCCAAGAGTCCTATATTATGTGACACCGTTTCTTGATATTCTAACTTTACAATATATAGGGTATTTTTGCTTGTTAATATAGATGTGTAACAGTTGCATTTTTATTTTAAAACATGAATTATTAATTGCAGGGTAGAATCTGACCTTTTCTTGTTCTTCATATTCTCTTCACTCCAGTATTCAGCAGTCACTCTCAGTTCTGGTACCACGTGTATGGCCATTTTTACATCATACAATATCTTCTGTTCGAAAAGCTGCATTAGAAACTTTGTTTACTCTGTTGTCTACTCATGATCAGGTGAGAACTAGTCATGTAATTGGCTTACATTAGGAGAACTAACAAGGTAAGTTCAGATGGACTTCATATATAATTATGCAGATTTGTTTATTTGATTTTGATACTTCTTTCCTCTGAAACATATTCTAAGAACCTTACAAAATAGTTAAAACTTGCACAATGTAGAAATATATAAATACAACTAAAATAATAAATTGATATGCAGCACACAAAATGTTGCACTATTACAATGCTTCCTAGCTTGCTTTATTAAAAGTAACATGCATTGGTACTGTCTTACTTGCTCTTTTAGAGTTCTGCAGTCTGGCTTACTCCCATTTTGCAAGACATGTTAAGACATATCTTTCAGTTTTGTATATTAGAAAGTAATCAGGAAATTCTGGAACTAATACATAAGGTATGTATCTTTTTGTACCTTAAATATATTTTATTTATATGTCTGGTGATATAGTTATTTTAATATCTAATGTTTTAATCTTGGCTAATTCTTACTGATTGTATTTATACTATGTAATGTGAAATTATGCTGCTGAAAACATGTAGATGCGGATTGCTGATTTGTGCCCTGAGAAGTCTTAAAGAAATCAGTATTCAAACCTGAAGATGAAGTATCTTTAAGCCGTGAATGAACATCTTATTTTCCCCCTTTTGTAGGTGTGGCTTGAATTGTTAAGCAAGGCATCTCTACAGTATGTTGTAGCAGCAGCATGTCCATGGATGGGAGCCTGGCTCTGCTTAATGATGCAACCTTCTCATTTGCCCATTGATTTAAATATGTTGCTAGAAGTGAAAGCCAGATTTAAGGTAAGAAGAATATTGAAACTGACAGCATGTATTAGGAAACAAATACTGTTTTAACAATGGCATACATAGTAGAATGGAATTCTTTGTAACACCTAGTTAGAGTCTTCACTTAATTTAAAAGGTTAGGACCACAATTTGGTACCAAATTGGTCAAAGAACTAAATAATTTTATATGCTAGTATTTCTGTAGTAGCTCCTACTGACACTTTCCTTAACGTGGGCCAGTGCTTGGAAGCGCAACGGTGACCCCTTTCAAAATCACTTGAATAGTTCTGGCACTTTCATGTGTATTTATTTTTTTAACATTGCTATGAATTCTCACCACCGGGTAGGTAGGTAACCTGGTGTTCTGCAGATGCATTGGAGAACAACTCCCATCATTCTTGACCATTGACCATGCTAACTGGGTCTTACTGTAGTCCAAAACATCTGGTGGAGGCAATAAGGTTGCCTGTCCCTGTACTAATATTAAGTGGTCAAATTAAATTTTATTTGAATAATTCCATTAATGGAACAGTGTTACATCTGCCAAGCTTATTAACCCTGAAGTGTCTCTGTAGTGTTTTGGGATGTATACTGCATGAAATTGTTGTACCTTGTCTGCACTATACTAGCCTATACTACTCTCCCCAGTTTCACTGTTGAGATTGAATATAATTACTTGAGTCTTATTGCTCTCTATCCATAAACATTTGAACATACATCCTTTCTGTTTCCGTACAGCATTCTTTTTAATTCTGTGGGAGGGACAGAATGCTGTATGGAAAGGGAAAGGCTGTTATGCCCAGATCTATTTTTTGGAAGACAGTTCATCGTATAGACTTACTCTCTTTTAAATGTTTCTGAAAATTAAATAAAGCACCCACTTTTCCAGCATATCTTTGCCCAGCAGTATTTATTTTCAGAACCAAGGTTAAAAGGCTAGTAGACAATCTTTCTTCCCCCTACCCCCCACCCATGAAATTAACTCCCGTTTTTCTTCTTTCTATGCAGCAGCAGCTTTCTAGTGTGGAAAAGGGAAGTGTGAGGCAATTCAGCTACAGTGGAAGCTGGGGAATAGAAAAAGGCTGAGGGAAATAAAAAGGAGATTTGAAATTGCCTTCTCTCTTCTTCCATCCAATCTGTCAATTTACAAAGCAGCCCTTCATTGTTCTTAAAATGTCTTCGTGCAAGTAGAACACAGTGACTTGGGCACTTATTGACTGCATTTGGAAGAAATACATTATAATGGCAAAATGGGTTTTTGAAGGCTGTTAAAGCATATTGAAGAATTTTGCTATCTTGGAAAGCTGTCAGATCATTTGATTAGCTTTCTTTGACTGTTTTATTATGTATTGTTATACCACAGCTGTTTGACTTAGTTAAACTTCACATTGTTTGTTTTCTTCATTTCCTTTGAAATGTAACAGATGAAGCCTAGCATAATTGTAGTTGAAATTAGGTAAACCAGATTTCTCAGCTTTCCTGGTAGAGCCTTTCTCAGTAGAAAAAACAATTCCTTATTAATTATTCTTTGAGTTTTATTATACTCATTTTTTGTACGCTGTCCCAAGACATTTGTAGTGGGTGGGTTAGAAAAGCTTTTAATAAATAAATAAATTCCCCTCCCTCACACTAGCCATGTGAAGGCTTAGGATCAACATGAAAAGGAATAAAAAACCTGTATCTAGTAAACAGAGGGAAATAATGCAGGCTTAAAGGCCTTTGTAGGAAAGGAGTCCAGAGCATTCAAACTCATTAAGGAGAAAATAACTCTTCCTTTCAATAGTTGAAACATGCCATAAATATACACTATGTACTGGGCAAAGATATTTAAAAGGTACAGTATATATTTAGAAATTAAGTGTTCCACAAATTTGTATTATTTTATAAATCGTAATTGACCTGAGACTATTTCCTTCCTGTATAGGTTTAACCTGTGGTAGAAATATGCTCTCTTAAACATTGCAGCCTAAATGTAAACAGAATAGTGTTTTCTGAGGCATTTGCCTGAACAGTGTTTTATATCATTTTCACAGGAAAAGACCGGTGGCAAGGTGCGGCAAGGGCAAACCCAGACTAAAGAAGTAATACAAGAATACATTGCTGGTGCAGAAAGTATTACTGAGGATGCAGTAACCAGAGATTATGTTGTTATGAGAGCCCGGATAATGGCTGCAAAGTCAGTTCATTATTTATGATTTTAAAAACAATATTTGAAAAAAGAAATAAGTTTATAAAGAACCCATGATAGTTTGTACAGAACATTCTGATACTTGAAATGTAACTAATATAACATTGATTGTTTCAGATTGCTAGGAGCACTCTGCTGCTGCATTTGTGATGAAAGTCTGAATGCCATTTCTCAAGAAATAAAGCCAGCTGAATCACTAGCCCAACTATTGCTTTTCCACTTGAATTCTAAGTCTGCTTTGCAGCGGTTTAGTGTTGCATTAGTAATTTGTGAGTGGGCTGCCTTGCAAAAGGTAGGACATTTACTAATATTAAAAAATAAATTCTTCTCAAATTAAAAAAAAACTGCCTCCATCAAGTAAGTTTGAATACCCCTGTTCTAGCAGATCATATTTTTATGTTGTCAACAATCGGTGCATAAGAAAATTTCAAGTTGAAAATATGTAACTGACAGGGCTGTGGTTTAGCAAATGGACTGTGTTTAAGAGGTTTAATGCATGAATGGTAGATTCCTATACTACCTCAAAAACTGTTTCAAAACTTCCTTGAGACTTGCAAGTGTCTGTTTGAATGTCACTGTTTAGAATGAGTCACTGTTTGGATTGTTTGAGTCCCATGTAAGCTCTTTGAATTTTTGGTTTGTTTATTTATTTAATTATATTTCTATGCCACCTGTCAGTTCAAAGCTCCCTTTAGCAATCTAGCAATCTGACCGCACTGTAAATTTGGGTTCACTTGCCAAGGACTACGCTCTGTTAAACACAGTGGGTTTAAACATTTGAGTAAACATGTATATGTATGTGTCGTAAATCATTAAATCACTAATGAATTGTGATTCATTGTGTTTATAATCACTTTAGCCTTCATAAAAATGAAGAATGCTTGTATTTAATGTGCAAAAGGCATACATTTGACATCTAAATTATTGAACATTCTGTTTTTAGGAAAGTAAAGTAGTGGCTCTTTCTGTCCAGTCACGTTTACTTGGTGTCCTTTCGGAACATCTTTACTATGATGAAATTGCTGTTCCCTTCACCCGAATGCAAAATGAATGTAAACAACTCATCTCCTCATTCACTGATGCAAACATTGACATAACCAGCAAAGTTAACTGCAGTGTGTTTACAATAGATCAAGCTAATGAATTGGTGAGTGAATCAACAAAAGGACTATCTTTATTTAATGTTTATGTTAGCAATGTGAAAGCTAGACTATATTAATTTTTCTTTTCCATTTCACAAGATTTTCTCATCTTGGATTGTCTATGATTAATTGATAACTTTAAATATAGTGGCATCACTTATTTTGTAAAGAAGATTTTAGAATATCATATATTAAATACACATTAAACTTTTAAAGGAGAACATTAGTACTCTGACACGTTTTGTTAAGATGTAATTTGATTGAAGGAACTTACCAAGGGCATTGGCTACAATCATCTGCGACCATGTAGAAGACAGCCATGCATACTAAAGGAGCTATTTTAGTAAGACTCTTGCGTAAAAGACATCTTTCTGCTCACATGGTTGCCCCCATTTTATGGATCTTGAATGTTTGAATTGTCACCTGACTTTATATTTTGTGCTTTAGTAGTAATAAATCATTTTCATAAGGATGTGTGCTGAAATTTCCTTTTCTTGGGCTGCAATGCTGATTTTTCTCTTACCCTCTAGTAAATAATTATCATATTTATGCTAACTGGTCTCTTAAGATTGCTTCTTGGACATCATTGTCCTGTTAGATAATGGTAGCAGCAGAAGAAATTCATTTCAGAAATTTACACCAGATCTATCTTTATATGTACATGTTGTTGTCAAAATGTTAATTGGCTACCACTAATTTATTTGAAAGAAAACTGTAGAGAAATTTCTCTGAATGTCTGACCGCAGGACAACTGATAGAGTAGGTTTGGTGTTGTACTTTACATTTTAAGATGTGATGCTGGAATAAGCAACATCCATTAGTTAAAAGCCGCAGGATGGAGGGGAAAGTAACTGATTCAAAAGCTTGTAAATGGTTAATGCATGTAGGGAGTCAGGGTGCTGGTTTAGGTTTTACTTTGTCTATTTACTTAGCCTGTTTTAGGTGTAATAAAATGCCTGTAATAGTGTAATAAGAAGATGCTACCATTAAGTAAAGGTGGTCTTTAAAGCTTGCAATGTGTTCTACCTCACAGGCAAACCACTCTGTAACAATCATAACTCTTGGGACAAATTTACTTTATCAGTATTTCCCACAGTTTTCTGTATGTGGAATAAAGGGGAGAAAATTATGAGTTTAACATGTAATGCAGGGAAACTAACAACATTCTAGAGCAATTCAAGTAGTTTAAACTTGGGAACATAAGAAATATATTTTTCTAGTAATTTATTTATTTAAAGCATTTATATATCATTTGATTAGCATAATGCTCTGAGAATAGTATATGCAATATAATTAAAATATACAAGATCCAATAATTTAAACTATTTAAAACAGATTCTCCAGCAATAAAAAACTGTGTACAATAAAAATTTTGCAGGTCTATACAACACCACCACAATACAATAAATAACTATTCCACGTGTACCAGACAATTTAAAACCCAATATAAAACTAGACTGACTACAGTTTAAATTGTGGCAAAATAAAAATGTTTTAACCTGGCATCAGTATGTATATAGCATCAGCTCGAGGTGTGTTTATACAAGAGCCAGTGTGCTGTAGCAGTTAAGAGCACGGGACTGGGACTCAGGTGATCTTGGTTCTAGTCTTCACCATGGAGCTAGCTGGGTAACTTTGGGCCAGTCACAGATTCTCAGCCCAACCTACTTCACGAAGTTGTTGCGGGGATATGATTGAGAGCAGGAGGAGGAGTATTATATAAGCCACTTTGAATTCTTTGTGAGAAAGTAAGGTGGGATATAAACTTAATAAAATTAAAAAGTAATAGATATATCTAATTAGAAAACTCGGTGTTTGTTCGGTTATCCACTTATCAGCTGTAGCAATTTTGTACACGTTTCTGAGCATTGTCATGGATGTGCCAGGAAGCTTCCTACTTCTTAATATTTCACAAGTGCAATCTTATTTGGAACCTGAATGCATAAATATTTTTAGCTTCCTTGGCTATTTCTGGAGCCCAGAGGTCAAAAACAGATTGAATGTGTGGATGGGTACCAGCTTTTAGTATCATGTGTAAAACTGCTTCAGTGTCCTTTCTCTTACCAGTAGTAATAAGTAAATGTTGACTGCTTTTCTTTTTCTTAGGTCACTACTATTTTTAGTGAAGTTATATCTTCTCTTAATCTAAATGCAAAAGTTTTACAGCAACTAGAAAGCAAACGACAACAAGTTCTAATGACTGTTGCAGAAACAAATCAGGAATGGCAAACATTGCAACTGAGAGTGCACACTTTTACTGCCTGTGCTGTTGTGAACTTGGGACAGCTTCCAGAAAAATTAAACCCTATCATAAAACCACTGATGGAGGCTGTGAAGAAAGAAGAGAATACATTAGTACAAAACCATTCAGCTTTGTGCATAGCAAAGTTACTTCAGCAGTGCACAACAAGATCTCCATGTCCCAACTCAAAGATAATAAAAAATCTTTGCAACTCACTCTGTGTTGATCCACATCTTACTCCTTTAGCAACATGTCCTGCGCAACCCCAGAGCAGCCATGAAAACTCAAAAGGTATGTTGACAAGCTGCCAATCTTTATAGTAATGGGAATTTCAATTTTGGTATTTGTACAACTTTTGAAGCCCAAAGTATGTTTTACTAAATTATACAATCACAGTAAGGTACAAATGAAGGCTGTACAGGAGAGGTTGTCCAAAAGAATTTTGGGAATTTAGGATTCAATGATGCTAATAATGAAATTGTTGTCTTAGCCTTACAAAGAATGCTTCCTGGATATTAACTTTGGCATCTGGATGATCTTTGCATTCTAAGAATAATAGAATATTACAAACAAGCACTGTTCTTAGAAAAAGTTATCTGCCTATCAAGTGGTCACTGGTTTCTACCAGTTTATGCTTCTATTGCTTATTAAATGAAAAACATTTTCAAAAGAATTGTTTCATTGTGCAGCACCTATAGTACTGCCAGTTTGTTATTTCTGTTTTCCTTTCTTGTTTTAAATGGGCGTCTTCCTTGTGTATACCATTGTTTTTGACCTTGCACATGAAATCAGTTGTTGACTGTTTCCAGTAATCCGCCATTGGAGAGATAGTTCTGGACTTAATGCTACTTATAATAGATGGACCCTACTTAATGCAAGGAGAAGAAATTGCTGTCCCACAATTCACCTGAATTCTTTATTGTGGTCTCTCTGCATCACACACGTGGGCTTTGTCGCATCACACAAGGCCTGGATCAGAGAAAAACTTCCATAGCAAAACATCACGAAGTGGGCAGGAGCCCCACCTGCCCCTTCCAGGTCCTGGGATGGGGGTGGGGGTGTCCTGCCAAGTTCCTCAGTTTCTTTCCGACCATCCACCTTGCTGCATTGCCTGATCGGTTTGAGCTTCGTCATTTACCTCTTATCCATTGTTTCCTTCTTTATCCTTCCCTTCCTTGTTTCTCCTATTAAAAAATAATAATAAAAGTCTCTCTACTTTCCACATATATATATATTTGCCCACACATGGCTGATGGAAAACTGAAGCACATGAGGCCCAATAGTCCCCAGGCTGCTGAGACCGCACAAGCCAGGAAGTGATCACACGAAAAGGAAATACAAGGTGAGGCCATCAGTTGCTGCCACTGCTTCCAAGAAGGAAATACCACATGGTCAATCCTCCCTCTTTGCCTGCCACTGAACTGTCACACACTCAGCTGCCCACCCTGGACATTGAAACACCACCAGTCGACTCTCTTGCTGCCCTGGTGATGGGCCCAGACCAGTTCAGCATTCCACAGTCTGCGTGTGCCTCCCCTCCGGTTCCTGGTACTTCTGCAACTCCCAAGTACTGTGCTACTGCCTCATTGTGCGCTTCACTGCCCAGCCCGCTCACTCCACCCACGGACAGAGCTGAGGCCCACTGGGGAAACTGGGACTCTCCCCACTTTTCCCCTTTGGAATGGTCCTGTGACGCACTGTGTCACCTGTGTCCACTTATTGCAAGGAGCTATCTGAGCCCTCAGTCAACACCTCGGAGCCCTCTGTAATCTCCTGTACATGCCAAGTGGTCTGGGAGGCCACCTCATCCAGCAAGGACTCAGCTCTGGGCCATAGCCACCCTAGACCACATGCTTGCACCCCGCGTTGCCATGCAGATCACTGCCACAACATTGTTGGCCCTGCCTCACACGAAGGCAGACCCTGGCCATTGTTGGCTCCATTCCCAGGCTGAACCTGAGGATCCGCACCAACTCGTGCATATGCACATTGCTTCCTGGTGTCAAGAGTGTGTTGCCACTGCTCCTGCAGCTATCGCACTGAACCCTCAGCTGCACCAACACTATGAGCCCTCCCGTGTTGGCACAGGCCTTGACAAGGCCTATGCGTGCCCTAGAAGAAAGTGATTGCTTCCAGCTGCAGTCCTCCAATTCAGGTCAGAGTTGCTCTCCTTATTACATCTGTGCTCTCTTTCCTGCACCCCAGACATTCTCCCGAGATCCAGGCCCATGAGCAAGAGCTGTACTCACATGTTGGGGGGAAAGGAGATGTTTCATGTCACTGGTCCTGCGCATGGCCCACGACCTCAGCCTTGAGGTCTCCGAGTCCACAGCCAGCTCCTGACCTCAGGCCACTCCGCTCTTGTTCTCATTCTTCCAGCTCTGCTGCACACTGCACAGCAATTTTGGAAATCCCCTGTGGCAGGGCTTACCACCTTGCACCATATTGAAACTACATTCCAGGCCTCACATCACTCTCTCCTGACTCGGCACCCCAAGCCCAACTCTATTATAGCTGAGTCAATGCATGGCATCTCCCATCAGGAGCATTCTGCACAAGCAGACAGGGAGGACTGACACCAGGATAGCCTTGCCCAAAGGGCCTATGCTGAAGTCTCTCTGGGCCTTTGCGTGTCCATGTACGAGGGGGCCATGGCCAGATACCAGATGTTCCTCCAGGACATGATTGGGTCCTTGGTGCAGCACCTCCCAGCCAAGCAACATGACACAGCTCAGCTGCTCCACATGGAGGCAAAGAAGATCTCCAGATAGCAGCTAGAGGCAGCACGAGAACACATGGACTGTGACAAGTAGGAACTACTAGAGGCCATCACTATCCATCACCATGCCTGCCTCTCCTCCACGGCCCACCCTTAGGAGACACACACCCATATTGAGGATATGTCGTTTGACAGGGAGGGACTCTTCAGTGCCAGAGCAGACAAGAGCATGGGCTCCCTTTACAAGGCCAGAACCACTGCCAAGCATATGTGGTTCACCCAGTACCCTCAACTGTATAAGTGGCAAAGGGCTCCTCTTGGCACCAGCCACTGTCCCTTCTTCCCTGATTGCCTTTTCAAGGCTAAGGCGCCTGCCCTCCCTAAGAGGCAGGACTTCCAGGACAATAGACATGCTGCGGATCAAGTCTGATGCTGGGGCACTCACTGTGGAGATGTCCACACCCAGGGCCTCTGGATTGCCCAAGAATCCCGAAGCCTTTTCAACTTCTTGGAGATGTTGGCCACTCACAAAGCTCTGCTCTCCTTTCAGGACTCCTTGAAGAGGTGCCACATCCAAATCACAGACAATACAACAGCTATTACCTAAACAAGCAGCGTAACGCTCTGCCTACCCATCCATCTGGGAGTGGTGCCTGGAGAGACATCGCAATCACAACTGAACTCCCTGGCAGATGCCCTGACCATGCCACCTTGATGCCTCAAATGGGAGCTCAATGATGCAGTCCTCCACAACTTCTTCACCAGATGGGGCACCCCAGAGGTGAACTTCACTACTCCCCAGAACGTCAAGTGCTGCCTTTTCTGTTCCAGAACAGGATGCAGGAGGGGGCTCCAAAGGGAATGCTGCCTCCTGAGATGGGATGTGACCCTATTCTACATCTTCTGCCCTCTCCCTGGTTACCCAGGTGATTGCCAAATCCAGAAAGACCAAAATGAGTGTCTACTCTTTACCCTCTATTGGCTGCGTCAGCCATGGCTTCCATTCCTCCTCTATCCAACAGAAAGTTAATCTGCCTGCCACAGATCTACAACCTCCTCTTCCAGGAAGGGGGCCATGTCCACCACCTGGACCCCAGAACCCTGAACCTGACTACCTGGATGATTTGCAGACAGTAGACCCCTATCCATCCTTACCCCCACAGTTGCTTCCATCCTTCAGGCTGCTCTTAAGTCTTCCACACATAAGTACTATCTGGCTAAATAGAGTATGTTCACGTGCCATTCCAAATCAGTGAACCTAGACCCCTTCCACTCGCCCCATCTCACCTTGCACAAGGACATGATGGGCCTCCATCCAGCCCCGCAGTTTCATCTCAAGGTTGCTTCATATTTCCACATGAATCAGGATATCATCCTTCCAGCCTTCTTCCCAAGTCCTTCCATCCTCATTGAGGCCTCTAGCCACCTGCTGAATGTCTACAGAGCCCTTACCTTTATAAATCACATACAGAGGCCTTTTGTTGTACAGACCACAGGCAAGGGGGACTAAGATCATCCATATGGGTCTTTCTGGAATACATGATGCCTGGGCTCGACCATCCCACGCGACCCCATGCGCATTCTGCACATGCACAGGCTACATCCAGCACTCTTCTGACTGGCATCCCTCTTCATGAAGTCTGCAAAGCTGCTGTGTGGTCCACACCATTGGCCTTCATCCAGCGTTACAGACTGGACATCCACGCAAGACAAGGCTGCACCTTTGGCCAAGCTGTCCTATCAGATGTCCTGTAATGAAGCCAGCCCCACCGTCTGCTAAGGAAAAGCTTGCCATTTGCCCACATGTGTGATGCACAGGCCACGATGAAGAAAGACAAGTTGCTTACCTGTAACTGCTGTTCTTCAAGTGGCCATCTGTGCATTCACAAAACCTGCCCTCTGCCCCACTTGCTGTTGTCAGTCACCACACCTCTTCTCCCTGCCACAGGTGCTCAGCAGAATCACATTCTCAATTTAGATGCCTGAAGATGACACTGTCTGCAAGGCAACTGAGGGATTGGGCAGGACCCCCCTCTTACCCCAGGATCTGGGGGCGGGGAGGGGACTCCTGACCCCTTTGTGACATTTTGCTGTGAAGGTTTCTCTCTGATCCAGGCCTTGCACTATGTGGCCAAGACCGCATGCGTGAATGTACAGATGACCACTTCAAGAATGACAGTTACAGATAAGCAACTTGCCTTTATCTAGCCATGTGAAAGTGAAACCTCTTTAAAGTATCAACAGGAATCCATTGTTTTTAATAACTATACCTAATTTAGTTACAGTTGTCAGGAACCAGTTGCCTGGCTGTCTACTGAAAAGCACCAAAGGGGGAAGAAAGTGACAAAAGTAGGTGAGCCAAAGTGTAGTAGGGAGAATAACACCCACATGGCAATGTAACCCTCTCACATTTAAGTGCTGAACTGTCAGTTCGCAGTCCATTATACTTTTTCAACAAGTTCCTGTGTCTTCAGTTATTCCAGAAAGGGGAGATATTAACTCCTTGCCCCTATTTTCCTGGCTCTCAGAGTTACTGTGGTTCACTGACAGTAACACAGATTTCCCCTCCATTTACTTACCATCCATTAAATATGCACATATACCATTTTAACAGCTTAGAGAACTGAAACAAAAGGATTGACCAGGCACAACTGTATCACAGAATGCACATGTGCACTTGGAAAAGACCAGCAACAACAATAATTAATTATTGATGCATTTTGCGCAACGTAAAAACAGTAGCGAACAAGGGATGATCACTCCAGCGTGTGCTAGCCACTCTCTGCAGTCCATAATGAACTTGTTCTGGGTACAGATAGCATGGCATCCTATCATGGATCAAGCAACTAGAACTAGAGAGCTGGTGTGGTTAAGAGTGTGTGTATGGGACTCAGGCGATCTTAGTCCCTTATATTTTCTTTTCTCCTTCCTGATTCTTTTCTCCTCGGCTTTCCCTGCCCTTCCAAATTCTGATACAAAAACATCTGTTGCTGACTTTTCCTGTTGCTGCCTAGTCTTAGAAGCATTTTAATTACCTTTATTTATTGTAGGATCTGTTTCTGAAAGAGATGGAATGCATCACACAGTCACCAAGCATAGAGGTATAATTACACTTTACAGGCATCAAAAAGCTGCATTTGCTATCACAAGTCGACGAGGTCCTACACCAAAGGCCCCCAAAGCCCAAATTGGAGATTTACCTACCAGCAGTAGTGGAAACCTAACCCCAGAGCTTGATGAAGTGGGTACAAACTTTATATTTCAATTTTGCAAATGTCATTATTATATGTGTTCCACTGCAGATGCATATGATGATATGCTTTTGCTTCAGTATTCAGATTTCTCTGTGGGGACCAAAGGGATCACATAAAGAGGAAAACATAGTTTTTCCATGTATAATTGTGTTTAAAAACAATTGCTTACTCCATTTTCCTACTCATGACTGTTCTCCTCGTTCTCTCTCTCTTAAAAAATGAATTAGGAGAGAAGCTTCTCTGTCTGCATGGTTTGGCTTTTCTTGTTCCAAATTTTTTTATTCTCTCACTGTTGAAAGGAAAATATGGCACTGATGTATATTCACGTTGATTCCTTCCACTTGTGGGATCAGTTTTAAGAAAGTATTGGAAAATTGTGGGGAGAGAGCAATACACCTGGCAATGCTCATTTCTGGAGTCTGTTCCTGGTTCCTTTTAATGTTGCTTCACACACTTGATTACTAGAAACTACCATATATATAAGTTGACTCATGTATAAGACAAGGTCAATATTTTGAACTGTTTTTCTAGTATTTGTTATATGTCAGGCATATAAG